CAAAAAAAAAAAAAAAATAGAGAATATAAAAAAAAAAAAAAGAGGGGGGGGGGGGCTCCGTTGTTGCTCCCAAAAAACGGCAGCCCTGCATGTCTTGTACGAGGCTGTTAGGTTGCGGTCACACACGGGGCCTCGTTTTTTGTCGTTGTTTGCTTGGCGCCAGAAGAGTGCATTTCTGGCTCCGAGATTTCGTTCTCGAAAGAATGAAAATTCCTCGGCAAAGATGTTACATGCCCTCCCCTTTCGGCCCGTGTTGTATGTTGCACGTGCGTATGTTTTTGGTGGGGATTGCAGTCCTTTGTTCGTCTCTTTTCGCTGATGTTTTTGCTTCACGTCCTTGTGTTCCGGCGGTGGTTTCGCGTTTAGACACACGTGCGGGCTTCTGATCTCGCCTCCATTTTTCGTCCGTGTCGCCTGCGTAATGTTTTGGGTTTTGTTTTTGTTGGCTTACCCCTCATGCGTCGCGTCAATCAATATACCTGGTACTTCGCATATTTAGAAATACAACATTGCATGGGCATCCCGTGTTTTGGTTTCGGTGAAGAGGTGCTGGAGCGGTCTTGCTTGTTTGCTTCGCGAAGTTGTTTTGTGCGTGTTTTGTGTGTTTGCGTTGAATTGGCATCGACCGCGCCAACCGTCTGGCCAATGAAAATAATACGTCAGTCTTACGGTATGCAGTTGGCGGTCCAACTGGCGCAGCCTGTCGCTAGCGCGTTTCGTGTTTTGCATTTCGGAGTGTAGTTGGCCTACGGCGACTTACCGCGCATGGAAAGGAGTGGTTCTAACGCTACACAGCGCCGGTAGTTTGCTGTAAAAAAACACAAGTTCCAGAAGGCTCTAGCCCCCGATCCTGTAGTCACCCCGCTCAGCTCTTGTCATCTCTCCACGCGCCACCACTACTGTTGTGGCAAAAATAGCAAGCAGCAGCCGACGTTCACCATGGTGTGTTGTGAAACCTATATGCTGCGCTACACTCCATTGGCTGATGTCCTCACGAGAGTGCCTGCCTTCGTTGTTGTGGTGTGTATTGTGATGATGGCGTGACATAGGAGTCTTTCTTGAATATATAAAAAACCCATTTGTCGGCTTTTTTCTATTTGCGTTTTGTCGACCTCGACTGCTGGACACGACTGAACCGGAGCAGAGCTCAGCCAGCACATGAGAACCCACCTGCACACGATCTATACGATTAGTCAAGAACTACCACCATCCGCGTATAAGGGAGAGGTTCGAGGCTGCCTCCGCTTTTTTTTGCTTGGAAGCCGGAGATGTCTAATGAAGAGGTACCGAATAGCCACTCGTTCCCGCCGTGGTGTCCAGGTGAAGCACTAAATTTGTCCCAACCGCGAAGTAGGGAGAGAGAGAGAGAGAGATGTGTACTTGTATGATAGCTGGAATACATGTATAGTGCGATCAGAGGATACTGCCGAAACCACGAAGAAATTTGTTTCTGCTCAGACGGGACGCCAACAAGCGCGCGCCGCATGGCTATAGCGGCATGATGACCGGGGCACCCGGTGCATCAGTTTAGTGCACCCGCACGCCTTCGAACAGCTGGGTCGGGGATTCGACCTGCCAGCGAAGGGCGACCCGGCTTGCACCTACTATGTTTTTGAGTTTTGTCACTGGAGGGAAAAACTCTCTAGGTGTGACCTTCTCGCGGAAAAACACCGAGGTTTCGACACACCAAGGATCGGATGCAGTCGTATATGTGATCCTAAAATGGGCTCTTCCGTTCATTGAAAGACGCAAGACCGTACAGTAGAAGTGGATAACGCAAGAGCGACGTCAATTGAACAGGGCGAAGAATTACTAGACAATAGTAACATGCATACCTATCTCCCGAAGCGCTTTGTACAACCTCATCTATCTGTGCATGCGGGGGTCACTATTGCGACCAGCAAAAACATGACATTACTGTAGTTGCGTGCACACGCGGATACACCCGTGCATTGATATCAACACCGAGCAAGCAGCGTTTGCTAAGCACACGTGGGACGTCAACGCCCAGGACACGTGTTTTTTTTTTTTTACATACAAATCATACCGCACCTGCCGATGTTTCATTCTACAGGTGCCATGGATCTACCGTTGGTTCACAATGCCCGCGCACCTACTGCACACAATGCCACATTCCTCCCACCCATGTACCGTCGTAATCTGGGTATTGAATACGAAAGTGTCGTGGCCGAACAAAACAGAGAGGAAGCTGCTCGGTCGGCTAGGCTTCAGCCGCCCTAGCACCTTCTTCCCCCATGTGTCGTAGCACGTTATTTTGTTACACCAGCACGAGATACAAAAACAAAACACACACGATATGACGATCACTATTATCTCCTTGTCGGGCTCTTCTTCTTCCTCCCTCCACCACCAACGGGGGACCTTTTGCCCCTCCCCTGGACCCCTCTGCGCCCCCCTCCCGCCGGGGACGGAGACCTTCTCAGTGTGACGCTGCCGTCCTTCTTGCCCAAGCCTGGTCCCGTCCCCACCACGTGGCCTCGGCTCCCAAGCGGAGACGAGGATAACAGTAGCGACGGCGGATGAGGATTACGCAGGGTGGTGAAGGTGGGCGGCGGCGGGAAGGGGGCGTCGCGGAGCCCTTCCGTGGGGTGAGGGAGGCCGGCGAGGCAGGTCTCGAGGGGACGGTCGGTCGGAATGACCAGGGCGCGACGGAGGGCTTCGTTTGAGACCGAAAGGCCGACCCTATACATTGGGTAGAGTTTGAGGTGGGGGGGGGGTCGGGAAGGAAGGGCCGATGACGAAGACTCGGCATTCTTTCGTGGTGCCCTCCCTGTCTGTCGTAGACTAGGTGTGTTTTTCTTTTTTCGGTGCCGATGGAGAGACGGTTGGTCCTTCATAATGCTTGAGTGCATTGTTATCGTTGTGTCAGGTCAACATGAATATGTAACTACCCGCCTAATAAGTAAAACCTTGACTTTCTTTGTGGATATTGTATGCTGCGCGAACCTGGCGTATTCAAACGAGCAGTACCCCCGTCTCGCTCACATACCTGGACAGGGCATCGGATGCATTGCGACATTCCTCCTCTTGCTCCATCCCCAGCAGGCTCACACCCTTCGCACGCAAGTATGAACAAGGGGGCAACAATGAAAAGGAGAGAGTTGAGTCGGCGCGGGCTTACTGGAGATGATGTCCAAAGGAAGTTGGTACGAGGTGGAACCGTAGAGTAAACATGCCTGATGTAGAAATAACAGGCCCGGCGGGTCAGCAAACCGCACAGCAGCGTCGGGGTCATCGAAGGACCCCCCCCCCCCCCCGTACAGTTGTTGACCTCCGCTTCACCAAAGCCGTAGCAGCAGTACCCCGAAGACTAAGCTAGAACCCCAAGCCGTCCACCCCTCGCCGGGGCGGTCCATTTCACCTGCTTTTCCTCGGAGGGAAAGTGCTCCGCCATAAACGCCCCCGCAGATGTGTAAACCTTGCCGCTTGCCGCCGTTCCCTCGCCGCCACCGCCGCCGCCGCCCCCTCGCCTACCACTCTTCTTTTTCCCACCGCCGACACCTTTCTTCTTCCGCCCCTTGCGTGGGCTCTTGCTTCTGCTCTTGCTGCTGGCCCGTTTCCCCCTCGACCTTGAGGAGGCGCCGCCCTTTTTCTTTCGGGGCGATGCCGGTCTACCCCGTTGTTGCTGCGGTCGTCGCGGGGCGCTGGTGTTCTTGAGGACGACGGCGGTGTAGTGGTCTTCCATCTACATCGTCGGTGCCGTGGGGTGTTCCCGCAAAGAGAGGCGGGAACAAGGGGGGGCGTGGTGGTGAGTTGTGGCCGCGTTCAGATCTCGCGATGAGAACGCTACCCCAAGAGGGGGGGGGGGGGGGGGCGACGAGGCAAAGGCTGGAGTGTACAGGGGAAGGGGTAGGGGGGAAGTAGTATGGAGCGATAGGTCAGAAATAAGGTCAAGAACACAAGGAATGACAGAGTCACCAGGTAAATGGGGAATCGCAGGCGGCGAAAGCTGGAAAAACGGCAAGGGTCACATGGTGTGGTGCAACGCTGAATTTTTTCCGGGAGGTGCGCTGGCGTATGTCGGCTTGATGCATCCTTCTACAACAAGCATTAAAACCAATCTCTTCCACTTCCCTTTCGCGAAGGTGACAACACCGTCGCTCGCCCGAGCACAATACTGGCATATACGACGACATGCATACCCGAGCCAGCGTAGACTCCGACATGCCGCCTCGCCGGCTCTCCATCTCGAGCTGCAGGTGGACCAGCTCGGGGTCGTCCATCCCCAGCGTCCGTGCCGAGGAGACGGCGGAAACCGCAGATCTTGCGCCGGGCCGGGCCTTGATCCAGCCCCGAAACGCCGCGGAGGACGGCCGGCTGTGATTGTTCATAGAAGGTGTGGTTTCGTTCGGTTTAAGGCGGCCCCCGCCCTCCTCGGTGTTGCCGTCAGCGACGTTGTCGTCGGAGACGGCGGCGGCGGCGGCGGCGACGCCGGGAGCTCCGTCTGTTGCACTTGACAGAGGGCGGTTTCCGCCGTCGACGTTCCTATCCCAGGAGGGCACGGCGGTTTTCACCTATTGAACGCGGTCCGGGAGGGGGGGAGATGAGCGCGGTTATCGAGCCGGGGCGAGGGTGAGGTTAAGAGGAGGAGACTTTGTTGAGGGCCGTGTGCGATCTCGGCCACAACAAAGGAGAAACAGATTTCGCCTTATGGCTGAAATTGTATGTATTGCTTGATTGAGTGGCCTTGTTCGATCGTTTCCTATCCTTGGCAGACGGACAATACTCTTGACCACAACTCCTCAAAAAGCCATGAACGAAATCGAAGGCCCGATCTACATCGACGTGAGCGTTCTTTCGAAGACCCGAGAAACGAACGCGGTTATTCCAAGGCCAAGAGGGTGTTGCAACGGCAGCGGCTACAGGGAAAGGACCCTCCCTCCTCACATCACGGACAGAAGAACGCCTTCGTTGGTTCTCGCTTCCAGCATCTACCCCTGCTCCTCCTCCGCTGCCGCCTCCTCCCTGTTCCGGCTCCGACGGTGGCCGTGACCCTCCAGATGACATCTGGAGCCTCTTCCGTCGGGCATGCAGGGGTGCCATGGGGTCGTTGACGGCCACACCGCCTCGCTGGTGCTGCTGAGGGAGACTGCTGCCGGCCACAGGGGCCGACGTGGGCCTGCTTCTGATGACGCGGGGTGGTTGTTGTTGTCTGCTGACGGAAGTCTTGAGAGGAAGCAGGAGGCGTTGCTGCTCCTTGCTATCCTCTCCCGCATGCGTCCCGGCCGCTCTTGCCGAGGAGGTCACGTGCCGACGAGCTGGTCGCGACCTGGAGAACATCTGCTGCTGCTGTTGCTGTTGCTGTTGCTGTTGCTGTTGCTGTTGAGGTGGTGCGCGGGGCGGGCGCTGAGTCGCCGCCGACCGTGGAGCATCGGGTGCGCCCGATCTCCTCGGCCCTGACCACCGCTGCCGTTCGGCACCAAGATCGCCCCCGTCGCCCGCGGTGACGTCGCCGTCGTCGGCAGCGGAGACGGGTCTCTCCCGCCCCACCGTAGAGAAACGGCTCTCCATGATCGATATCCTGGCTTCGAGCTCACCGTCGTCCTCCTCGAGATCTTCGTAGATGTCGTCAAAGACGTCGTCCCCTTCCCCCCCCTCGCCGGATGAACGATCTTGGTTGTTCAGCGGCGACTGGGACCGTGTCGTCGAGGCGCTCCTCATCGCCCGTCTTCTCCTGGCACTGCTCCCGCTGCCGCCTCGCCTCCTTGCGGTGGAGGTGGCGTCCACGCCGCCGTCATTTCTCCTCGCGGCCGAGGCACTCACGCCTCTCTTTGTACGCGAGCTGTCGTCATCGGGCTCCGCTGCGTCTGCCCTCCCTAGCCGCGGGATAGCCGACCGGGGCCTCGCACTAGGAGCGAGGTCCGCTCGCCCCGCCCCCTCCTCTATGGTTCTGTTCTGACCAGCCTCGTACAACCCGCTTTCTTGTCCGAGAGTCTGCGAACGAGGAGGGAGCGCCGATGACGCACGTTGTTGCTGATGGTGATCGTCGTCGTACGACTGTTGAGGCACACGCCCTGCAGAAAACGGTCGAAGAATGGTAGCCGCTGACGACGGACGAGAAGTCGGATGGCTGGCGCTCGGGTGGTTGGGATGGTAGCCGATGCGGGACGATGAGGCGTAGCGCGAGCATTCGTGCCTCCACAGTACCATAGACTCGCGGCGAGATCTGTATGACAAGGGTTGGGGTGACAGGTTTTCGCGTGTGAAAGGAGGTACCGGGTATTGGTTGTGTGTGAATGCGGATTTCCGGCGTCACTCTGTGGTTATTCTCCTTGCAACATACTTTCTCTGTGGACTCTCACCTTGATGTATGCATGTGCTTTACTGCAAATAAGTCCATTGTGTTCGTCTGCCAGCATAGCTTATGAATGGCAGGGTACCTTTGGCTCTACTCCAAGCAGTTGGTTGATCTCCAACAAACATTCCGCTTCAGTTGCCGTATCTGGAAAGGGGGTTGTGCTAATACTGTGATTTGATATGCTACATAGACCCTTCTCATCCTACAGCTGCGAAAAAGAAGTACAAGTTGGCCATCAAACCAACCCTACTTAACGAATGCAATGAATCATTGCCACTTGTACACAATCTATACCAGACTATCCGTGGAAGGTATGGATGTGTTGTGTACAACAAAAAAACGGCACCTATTGTCGGTTCATGATCGGTTGATACACACACAGCCCGTTTCCCTACCCCACCGTCACCCACAAACACCACCATGCCTCGAACGCTCACGTCTGCAACGCCCATTGGTCTAATGTATCACGTACTCCTTTCTTGATGCCTTCCACAGCGATCGCCGCGGCTGCTGCTGACGTGACATGTGGATTTTGTTCGAGAATCCCAGCAGCAGCGGCGCTTTTTTTCTTTTCCACGGGAGGGACGAGCTGACGCCGCTTGCTTCGGCAGTCTCGAAAAGGATTGAAGAGATTCTCAGGCAGCAGCTTCGAACTCAGCCGGCGCCCTGCGTCTGTACTGCTCTCCCGATCAACCGTAACAGAGACGGCTCCCGCCATGTTGGTGAAGACAGTAACAGACGGAGCAGGATCAGCATTGCTCTTGTCCCATTCTACGGACGTGGCCATCAGGTCGGCGGCATGTCGAGGAGTCTTTGGAAGTTTCTCTAGGCTGTGGCGCGTCGTCTTCATTGCCGCAAACTCCCGTGACTGGATGATGCACAATCGTTAAGTGAACCACGTGTAGATCTCTCTCTCTCTCTGATCGCTCTGCATGCCCGTACACATTCTCTTTCTCTCCAGGATTTAAAATAGATCCGAAAGATCGGATCCAACAGATGTTGAGCTGAATCTCCGGAGATCGACGACTGTTTCATTTCGAAGCGCGAGGAGACACGCCGACATAGATTGGTGTTTGCCTCCAAAACGCCGCGCGCAAATAAGCACGTACACGTCTGCGCCGGAGCATGGGGCGCGTGCGTGAAGCTCAGCACCAGAAGGGTAGCGTTGCATCAGGAGAGCTGCTGCCGTACTACGCCCCCATGACGCAGATGAAGATACCTGCCGGAACGAGAAATCGGCATCAAGCATATGATGTACCGACGACGACGTACGCGCAGCTTGCATGGCCGCCCAAGGGAACGTCACCCGAAGACGGTGCCGCTAAGTTGGATGACCGGCAATATGGTCGAAACCACTGCCCTCCGCGGTCGATGCCCTCTGCCGTGGCGATGGATGACGACCCGGCACCGCGCTCACCGGCACGGCCAGGACCAGAAGAATCCCTGCCTACAGCCGCCAACCCGAGCGACGTACTCCTGGTAGACTTGGGAAGCCGGTCGCTATTGCAAGAAGACCTGGAGAAGGCGCTCCGCCTATGGACGCGACCGTCGATCCTTATTGCCGGGAGGAACTCACTGGATCGACTGCCCGCAAACGTGCCTGGAACAATACTTTACCTAGATCTCTCGTGGAACAGGTGGGGCACACAGAGGCTACAGTACATACGTATGTACTGCATGGGATTACAAGTACAACAACTCTTTGTTCGTAGATTGGAGGAGCATACCGACTCGGGAGTCTCCCTAGAGTACACAGTTGGCGCACCCACTGGAGGTGTATCGTGGTCTTTGGCCCAGCTACATCAACAGGGTTCAGAACTGCCTTACAGTAACTGGCACTCCAGTGGAGTATATGATACACGGCGACGCTGGATACGTTGACTAACTCGTTGCTTTGTCTGGCCGGTCTACAGTAGACATGCAAGAAAAAATGGTGGCACACATGTACTTTGTCCACATAATTCGCACCCATGCGTTGTACAACTGTAGACGCGTGCGATTACGATACCTTCTTCTCGGTGCCACGCAACATTCTCCGTGCCCCCCTCTCTGCTCCCTTCCGAACCAAAGACTAGCATCGTTGGAGGGGTTTGCCGCGCTACCCAACTTGCGCGAGCTGGACGTTAGCCACAACAGCGTGCAGGACATGCTCGGTTTGGTTTCAAACGTGGACCTACGCGTTCTCCGCATATCTCACAACCGCATACGGCGAATCGAGGGGATTCATCAGCTGAAACGCTTGGAAGAGGTAAAATCATGACTGAAAGTTTGCCATCACGTGGACGGGGTTGTAGGGAGAATACGACCACATAGGGGGGTTCGAATGGCCCCTGCATCCCCTTTGACATGATCGGCACAGTTTCCCGAAACCCGTGGTTTCTAGTGCAGGTTTCGGACTGCGCATACGAACTGTACGAACTGTAAATACAACCGCTGGCGTACAGAATGATGGTAACAGTCACTATGAACCAACGCGTTTGGTCTAAGTGCGTGTGTTCATGCACGTGTTGACGACGGCAGGTGGATTTCTCTCACAACCTCCTCAAAACGAAGGTGGACGTGCGCGCGCTCTCGCTCAACGCCGCGCTCCGCCGCCTCCGCATCGAAGGCAACCCGTACTGCTCGACGGGGGTGCAGCACGGGACCTACCAGATAGCCTTGCAGCACCTGTTGCCGGGAATGAGCCTCCTGGACGGCAAGGCTCCCCCGGTGCTGTCGCTGTCCCTCTCCTCCACCATGCCCTTACCCCCTCCCCCGCGGCCGCCCGCGCCGGGCAAGCCGGGGGATCACCACCGCCACAACAGCCGCAGGATGCCCCATCGTACAAGTCGAGGGACCCCCTCCTCCTGTTCCCCTGACCGTCGCGGCAGCGGGTCGATCAGGGAGGGCTTCATGGCTTCTTCCTCGCTCGACTTCGTGGGCGACCTCAGCGTAGAAAGGCGGTGGCGCGATTCCGCGGTCGCCGGCAGATCACAGTTCACGCCGGACTCTCACCAGCGTGCCGTCGCCCGCGGGGGCGTCCGCGGCGGTGTCAGGGTTCGTGGGGGCGGCGACGGCAATGGTGGTCGTGGTCGGGAACCGTGCATCAAAGTCACGACCGGGGGAGGGGGTCCAACGGTGGCACCCGGGTCATACGCGGAGATTTTCGTCGCGGGGATGCGCAAGGAAGGCTCAACATCGAGGGTGGGCATTGATGATCCCGCCGCCGCTACAACTTCTGGGGTTTCCAACAGCAGCACCCTTGCCCCTACGCAAAAGGGAGCGGCGGGGGCGGCGACGACGCAGCGGCAGCAGCAGCAGCCGCCGGGGCACCGCGCCGCCGCTCAGGCCCCGCACG